GTGGTGGCGGCGGCGGCGGTGGATGCTGCACGTCAACGGGATCGCTTGGTGGCGGCGGAATGAGCCCAAGCGGCGGAGGCGGCGATGGCGCCGTCGGTCGCCCCGGGGGTAAAAAAGGGGTGTACGGTTGTTCCGGAAACGGTGGCGCTGCCGGCGCCTCCGGGGTCGTGCGCGGCGGCGGCATTGGCGGCGGCGATGGCGGCGAATACGGCGGCGCGGTCGGGTCGGCTGGCGCCAGCGGGTTATTCGGTAGCTGGCCATCTGTGCGGCACAGGAACCCAAGACGGTCGCTACAGGCTCGGTCATCCCAGCGGAAGCAGTAGTCCGACCCGTCGTTCAGAACCTCAGCCGCCACGCAATCCTGGCTACCGCCAAAGTTATCGGGCTGGTAGCTGAGCGCGCCAGCGATGTTGGTGGCGGCACAGCCGCCTGTGGTGGGGTTGAAAACGCTCACGGTGCTCGCGACAGCAGTGGCGGACCAGACCCACGTAGTCGAACTTATGTAATCCCGACGGAGGCCTATCCAGATGGATGGATCGTACAACTGCAGCAGCACGGGCACAGGGGTCCAGGGAGGAGACGCATACAGTTACAGCACACAAAAGACCGAATCCCTGCCCGGCATGACCCGAATCCTTGAGTGCGGCGCGGCTTAAAGGCGTGTCCCGTGCGCGCATATTTGGCTGTGAAGAAACTGAGCAGTGAGAACGGGGAACTACTTATTGTATGAGCGATCGCGGCTGCATTTCTTAGCAGGACGTTGGTAAAGAGTACAGCGCAGCGACAGTGTCAAAATGGCCGCACAAAGCCTTACAGATCCCCTCCAATCCCTCTAGGTGCTCCTCCGTATCGTGTTCCAAAACCTCCTAATGCGCCCATCTGCATCCCCCCCGCCCCCACACACCCCCACGACGTCCGTCTGCAGCTGCTGCATCACAGAGCTGAACGTGGCCGCGTCCTCGAAGTACGCTAACGTGGTGGAGTAAAAGGTGCAGAGCGCATCCGCATCATCGAACGGCAGCGCCGCGGGCACATACATCCAGTAGGTGGTCCCGTCCAGGGTGAAGTTGCGCAGCGAGGGAACTGGCAAGGGAAAAGAGTGAATGAGCAGTGGGCAGCGGACGGGCAGGCGAGGTGTAATCATTACATGCAGCAAAAGTCAAGGCACCAAAACTGCCGACGTCAAATGCAATGATGCAACGCCCCGCGGGTAGAAGGGGCAGCACTCCGCTTGTGGTGACGTGCTGCTTTCAGGTCTGTACACGTGAAGGCGTCTGAGGAAGACGTGTAAGATGTGTCCGTCCAACTTACTGGAAAGGGAGGGAGGGGGCTGCGGCGGTGACGACGCGGGCGGCGGTGCAGCCGCGGTGTTGATGCCCTTTAAGGTCTTGCACATGAAGGGATGTGGCTCCAGACAGTCCGTTGCCGCCCACTTGCCGTCCCATAGCATATCCGCTGCAAGCAGTCCACACGCACAAATCCGCCAGGGGGAGGAGCGTAAGTCCGCCCCGGGGGAAGGGGGCGTAGAGCACCGAAAATGCAGGAACAACAAGATATGTTCACAGGATATGGCAAAACAAGAGCGAGGGGGGTATGAAAACCAACATAACTAAAGAGCGATTGGGGTGTAAAATCCGTGGCCTGCTACCGACAGCGACACCGCATGGCACCGCTGGCCCTGGATTTACGCTCTCACCCACGGCACAGTCGTTGCCCTCCGAATCCGTGTACGGCAGGCCCCAGTTGCTGTACACGGACGGTCCACCGTCAATCCATGAGAAACCTGCCTCCCCAGAACGAAGCTGCGGGCGTGCGCGGGAGAAAGTGTGGACATCAAGGAGAGGCGATTAGACAGACCTGAGCAACCCAGATGGATCGCAGGACCGGATCAGCTTGAATGCAGGAAAGTAAGCTTGGATGGGTCACGTGCGAGCAAGGATTACCGAAACACAGGAGGTAAAGGAATAGGGACGGTGGTGGCCGCAAAAATACTTCATGGTATTGGGCATTTGGCCAGATACAGTGGCCACCCAGTCGCGGGGTTCACGTTTAACCTAGAACAGGGAAGGCCTGCACCCGAGAGGCAGCAAAGGCAGCCACGCTTGACAGCCAAGGGCCACGAAAGCACCAAGCACCGTCGGAGGGGCTCCCACTTTCCACGGCGTGCGCGTCTCAAGCATCCTAATCCCTGAACCTTCCCGACCCATATTCTGTTTCTTGCCTTTTTGCTGTCCATGTCCCCTAAAGCTTTCCGTTCACAACCCACCCCACCCCTACACCTGATCGATTACAAAGAATACAGTATAATCAATCTTGTATGTCTATCTTGATACATATTCCCTTACTTTCGTGCGCTTAAACGTAAATCCACGCTTTCAACTAGTTCAACTCTTCCCAACAAGCCAACTCATTATGGTTAAGTTCCAAAACTCCCACCTGGTCGAAGCCAATCCACATGCTATCCGTCGCCGCCAGCTGGTTTCTCAGAGCCGTCCACACGGCCGAGAACTCGCCAGCGGAATGAAACGATGCCAGGTAGCCGCCGTTATTTTGACAGTACTCCGCAGCCTGGCTGTACGGCAGAGAGCTCGTGTAGACTGTGTACAAGTACAGACCTCGTCGCTGGCTCGCTGGTGCCGATCCCAACGGCGGCGGTGGCGACAGGGACGGCGGCGGCGACAGCGATGCATCGGGCGCGCTAGCCTGGCACAGAAATGGCAGTTGTACGTCGCATCCTGCTGGCACATAGGCGTAGTTGCGGACCGGATCAACGGAAACGCAAGACAATACGGGCCAGAAGCCTGTGTACACTCCTGCCAGCCAGGCCGTGAACGGCAACGGCGTCGTGCCGCTTAACGTTGAAAACTGCCCAGAAAGAGCGCGAATGCCAATCCAAAAAGCCGACTCGCCGGCTTGGGCCGGCATGGGCGGCGCCGCCATATTGGGCTCCCCCGCTGCCGGCATCGGCGGCCATGGTGGCGGCGAAGCATCTGGCGGAGGGGCGATGGCGGATACGCCTGCCGTTGCGCCGTTGCTCGCCAGATAGCCCTGTACAGCAGACATGACGTCGACGTAAACCTGAGCGTCCTCTGGCATTGCCAAGGTGCCGCCTGCGTCAAGTGATGCGCAGTAGCGCAGCGCCGCTGCGAAGCTCCGAGGCTGCATCACAAGCGTGTACACCACGTTGCTGGCGGTGCGCGTGTAGCGGAAGCTTAATTGGCGCGCTGTCGCCGGCGGTGACGGTGGCGGCGGCATCGGTGCCGAGGGCACGTCAGCAAACTTGCAAACGTACTGCAGGCTGACGCTGCACAGCTGCTGCGACCAAGATCCGCCGCGGTCCAGATGCAATGCTGCGCAACCCGCCGCCGCTGGTGTAGCAGTGGATTCGTAGGAGCCGAACCCCGAATAGGACACTGGCGTACGGTCGGACCACGCCCACTGCGCACCATACTGCGAGGTGCTCTTGAATAGACCGATCCAGACTGGCACGTATGAATGGGTATACGGTAACGATGACGCGTAATTTGCAGCAACTAGCGCATCTACCAGTGCCGTGCGTACGGCCACATTGGTGGCTGTGTCCGGGAAAGACGCCAGTTGACCCGATGCGGACACGCAGGCCTCCTGGGCTGCAAGCCATGTGGCCGCGCTGCTCATAATCTTATAAGTGTTGTAGCCCACAGTCACAGAAACTGCGAGGTGTGAGGGCGAAGGGTTTGGGATGTGTGCTTGCACAGCAGTATGTGTTTCCAGATGGCAACTAAGGTCGCGGCGGCAGGCCAGCCGTAGGTTCCTTGGCGTTTAAAATATGTAAAAATGCATGAGATGTGCATGACAGACTTAGACGGGAAGGCACCGCCCGTTATGCTAAACCTGCTAGGAGACCAGGGCAACGCTCAATCAGCAGCACAAACTTGCACGTATACGAGGTATGGTGTGTGGTCAGGAAAAGACTCGAACGCGAATGCCCCAAGAAAAAGGCAAAATGACCAGCGCTCCACCAAACGAGGGACTACATCCGCCCAAGAGAAGCTAGGAGGAACGCCAGACACCACATGGCTGCGTTTCCCCGATTTCACCTTGTGGATACGACGCAAGCACTAATGGCGGTGGAGGAGACGCTGGCGGTGGAGGAGAGTTGCCATCAGCCGGTGGGAGCGGCGGCAGTGGCGGCGGCGCCGCGAAGCCGCTACTTCCGACGCACCAGAACGGCAGCGCCGTGCTGCATTCGATATCCAGCCAGGCCCCGTTGAAGGAAGACAGGGTAGAAGTGTTCTGTGTTAGCTGAGCTGCGACACAATCTTTGGAGATGCCATTTTGAGTCCAGTGCGTGGACGCCCACACGCTCCCCCAGTCGGCAAGGGTTACCTGCAATACGACGGGAATTTTAGGATAGGCAGTAAGGGGTAGGGAGCCCACAGATAGCCCTCATGGCGCCAGTCATACCGCGCTTCGGGTTTGTAGGACACGGATGGATTGAGCGGGAACGAAACCTTATCCAGTTCTTCCTCAACCCTTTGAGTCACAGAGATGTCCCAGAGATGTTTAGGTCCAGGCCATTTGCCGCGGCCCCAAGCCCACCAACAAAGCCCAGCCCTTCAGGGTTGAGTGTTACAGTTAACCTCTTTCGCTTGGGCCGCCAGCAACAGCGTCTTAATCCCATGTTGCCTAGCAAGCACCGCGTCAGGAAGCTGGACAAGGGTCTAGTTTACTAGACCCTATAAACAATACAGAGATTGTCTCAATATTGTAGATAGTGTCTAGTAAACTAGACCCGTAGATAACTAATTTGGGTCGACGAGTGGTGAAAGCCGCGGTGAAATGTCCTGCCGCTCGTCCTAAACCCACCACCCAAGGTCTTCTCCCCAAGAGCCCTTATCTAAGGGAGGCAACCGACCACGTCGACCTCCGTTAAGGGGCTCCGGAAAAGCACCAGACTTCAAGATGGACCCATGTGATGGACCCAAATGGAAATCCCTCCCCCAGCCACTCAGACCCACCTCCTGCATAGTGGTGGTGCCCCGGCCGGCCGTAAAGTAGTACCAGCCCTCAGTGTCCTCATCGCTTACGCCGAGCCAAATCGCGGTGTTGGGGCTGAGGTAGGGGAAGGCAGGGCTGTAGGCGGATACAACGTCCGCGTATTCGGTTAAGCTTGCGGGGTCTGCCAGATGAGCGCCCCAGGTGCGACACGTTTCCTCCGCGAGGGCGAAGGACTTCGCATCCGAGAAAAGTGCCCAGCGCCGTCCGCCGATTGTTGTAAACCATGGTGCCGCGCCGTAAATACCGTCAGCTGAGTAGGCTGGTGGCGGTGGACTAGGTGGCGGGCTAGGTGGCGGGCTGGGAGGTACGGGTGATGGTGGACTAGGTGATGGCGGATCAGGAGATGGAGGAAGAGGTGATGGCGGATTAGGAGATGGAGGAGGAGGTGATGGCGGATCAGGAGATGGAGGAGGAGGTGATGGCGGATCAGGAGATGGAGGAGGAGGCGAATCAGATTGGGCTACAGCGGGTCCAGCTCCCAGAAGAAGACCAAGCAGGATGGCGTGCAACAAGAACGGCAAGCAGCTCCTCCGCCTCCGCCATCGGCAGTCTACCCGCGCCGCTGGAGGCAGCCAGCGACCCCCTCGGGACACTGGCGCACCATCCAGCGGCTGCCACTGCATGAGCGGCAAGTCGTGACGCTGCTTGGTCAGCAGCTGCGACCGGCCTCACACCATCACCGGTCAAGTTCCAAAGTTCTCTGCTTCGCGGTCGATCCACTGCACCACAGCCTGTCCTTTGGCTGGGTGCGGTCAAAGAGCTTGGCTGAAGAGCCTGCTGGGGATAGCAACGCCATAAAAGCAGAACCGCATGCGCGGTCCATATTCTGAGGTGTGGTAAGGCCGAACCCACCCTGTACCCTACTTGGATACTTGGACCAGTAACGTGTTTGGACCGGTAACATGCACGTGTAAGCTGCTCCTCCTTTAGCGCTAGGAGGCAACATTCGAGTGGCAGCAAGGCAACCTCACACCTGCCATCCCCCGTCGTTATTGTGTATGAATCATACACGCGTTCATGTAATCTGTCATCCATGAGGGCAGCCAAAGCACCAGGGACTCACCAACGCAGTGCCGGCGTGGCGCTTCGAGCTTGAAGCAAGGTCTTGCAGCTGCCTACGCGTCCGACCAGGTGTGTCCTGAATCAATGTAAGAACTGTCCTTCGTTAGAGACCTGTGTCAAAATTAGCGATATACCGTGCAGCAAGCTTGCAAATGTCTAACGGGACTAAGGCAACTCAGGTCTACACAAAAATAGCGTTTACGGACAAACGAACAGAATTATGACCTCTCGGACTTGAATTCTGTATGTGCAAATCGAGTCTTGAAAGGCCGTGCACGTACGTGAAGTCCACCCCGTCCCAAGTCTCCTGCCTTCCGAACGCGCGTTGCTATCCGTTCTGTTTTAGGCGTTTACAAATAGCGGTGCTGGCTTTTAGGAGCGACAAACACGCTGAAGAAGCGTCCACACATCATCCAGCTTGACAATTACTGAAGTCCCCATTGCAGAAACATTCGGAATGCAGACTTCCGTTATCGCCATGTAGTCTTTTGAAAGCTGGCTTTTTGCGTGTGGACGGCAACACTATATCAGGGATAGATGGCACGCGTAACCATGCAAAGCAAGCTTGAGAAGGTGGTAGCGGGTCTGAAGACAGGACCTAGATTCCTGAAGGAGCTGCGGGAGTTTGATAACCTAGTCAAGGTGCGCACGACATTACTCAAGCTTTATGCATCTGCTCGCGTCGTGACAAGCATCGTGATTGCGTGATCGTGACTGTGTGAAATAGGCTATCGGGGAATGCAAGTCCAAGGCGGAGGAAGACCGCGTTATCAGTCAGGAGGTGGAGCTGTTGAAACAACGCTTGAGCGATCCCAAGCTGGACAAAAGCCGGGGGAAGGAGTATATGGTCCGCCTTATGTACTGTGACATCCTGGGCCACGATACTAGTTTTGCGTACGTTAAAGCTCTGCAATTCGCCAGTGACTCCAACATCCACACCAAGAAGGTACGAGTTGCGGGTTCTCTAGCACCATTTTCCCTATCTCGCCTCCCCCACATTTCCAGTGTTGTGGCCTGGGGCCCCCACATTCCAGACAGGGGCTGCCTTACAACTGGCCGGCCACCGTGGATGCCACCCACCTCGCCGATACTAACTGTCCCCTTTGGTTTTTGCATCCGCGTCCCTGGCTCTGGCCCACCCATTCGCCAGGCCGCATACCTGGCTCTGACCCAGTTTCTGGACTACAACAACAACCTCGTGTTGCTGCTGGTTAATACGCTGCTCTTGGACATGAAGTCCGACAACTACCTGATAGGTATGTGAGCCCACCGTCAGCCCGCTTCGTCCGCGCCAGGCGCTTGCCAAGTTGCCAACTTTAAACTCAGGGAGTCCGCCGCAAGGCGGAGAGCGGCACTCTGCGGCCTGCAGCTGCCCGTCAGTGTTCCTTCGAATGGCAGAAGGATGTCTGCCTGCCATCTTGTGCCAAACTCTTGTCTACCTGATCGTGTCTTCCCCGTCCATGCCGGGCCTCTTCCTCTTCCTTACTGATTCCGTACTCCTTACATATTTTCCTGTGTAATCTCCTCCTCTTTAGCGCTTCTCACCTTTCCAACCACTCGCCTTACCTCTTGAACAAACTCTGTCAGTCTGTACGGCGCTGGTGGCGGCCACACGGCTTATTGGCCCTGACCTGGTCAACGCGGTGTACCCTGTGGTGGTGGAGCGATTGCGTCACCCCAATGAGCACGTGCGGAAAAAGGCGGTCATGGCGCTGCATTGGTTCGGCCAGCTGGACCCGCGCCGCGAGGGGGCGCTGGCAGGGGTGGAGCTTGAGAAGCACTTCCGGACCATGTTGTGCGACAAGGTGTGGGATTGCGGGTGCGGGTGCTGCGCCGTAGGAGTTATGGGGTTGCGGCGCGGGCAGGGGGAGATGGGCTAGGAAACACCGAGGCATAAACTCGCGTCGTGAGGCAGCCAGAAAATGCTGTTCTAGGACAGCGTCCGTAGCTTTAGGAGTAGTAACCCTATTGAGCAGGCGCTTCCACAGCACTGTGCTGGAGGAAGGCCTAGATTGGACGGCTGACAGGGTTTCTTGCTGCGCGATTGCCGGGGCAAAGGAAGGGGAGTAACCTTGGCAACGGGAGGAGGCGGGCTGGGAGGCTGGCAGTGCAAGGGAGGGCTTGTGTGGAAATGGCAGGTGTGGATTTCCTGTGCTAAATAATAGGGCGCTCCCTGCCATCGTCAGGCCGGGCCATCGTAGGCAGGGAGGGCAGCCACTGGGCCCGCTGAGGATTCTGCTCCTTGCCTGCCTGTTTTCAGCGTTTCTTCCCCTTTGGGAGGCACAGGTCGCATGGGAACCGGGGGGGACACACGGGCGGGGTGTTGCGCAGGTGCGGGGCAAGGGAGGAGTAACCGCCAGTCTAATGCGCAAACGGAGTTGCGTGGAGCTGGTGCTGAGGCCATGCGCCGGGCCTGGAAAGCCAAGAGTGCTTGTCCGCAGCTGGCAGTTGCGGATTATTCCCGCTGCTGGTCTGCCACAGGAGCTGCACATTCAGGCTGTGCAAAAAGGGGGAAGCGACACTAAGGGCTGTTCTGGCCTTATGCTGTTAAGGGGGGCGTTGAAGTGCTGGCTGGGGTCTATATTGCTCTCACCAAACAAGGAACTCTTACCCGGGGTGTTCTGTGTATCCACCGTGCCGGTCCTTTCTTAGTGCCGCTCCTCCCTTCTCCCTTCCTTCCTTCTGCTACCCAACCGCAGGACCCCTCAGTAATGAGCGCCGCCCTATGTGCGCTGCACGACTGCATCAAGCTGGACCCACGGCCATACAAGAACCTCATACCCTCCTTCACCAGCATTCTAAAGCAGGTGTGAGGCTGGCTGGCGAACTGGCTGGGGAAGGAAAGGAAAGGGCGCGCGGACCGTGACCCGAATTCGAGGAGGAGAGATTACCGGAGCCTATACATACTTCGTGCGCTTGTCCACCGCTGGGTGTGCACTCGCAGGTTTCGGAGCATCGGCTGCCCAAGACCTACGACTACCACCGCTTCCCGGCACCTTTCATCCAGGTTAGGTTTTTAAGTCACAACGAATCGCACTAAGTCACATGCAAGTGCTATCCCCCGACCTTTGGTCGCCTGTGCCTAGGGGCCAACCAGGTTTCGGCTGCGTTCGTTCAAAGCCGGTTTGGCCCTGTACAGGAGATGAAAAATGTCGGCTGACAAGCGAGAGCTGTTGCCCCCACACTGCAGGTCTGAGCATTTTCTGCCATTTCGCCTTTCTTCATGTCGGTTTTCACGTCGATGCCCTCCCCTTTCCTGGGTCTTCCTGCAGATCAAGCTGCTAAAGATACTGGCGGCGCTGGGTGCGGGCGACCGCTCCGCCGCCGAGAATATGGCGGCGGTGCTACACCAAACTCTTCGGCGAGCCAACACCAGCCACACCATTGGCTCCGCCATCATCTACGAGTGCGTCCGCACAATCACCACCATCTACCCCAACCCGCAGCTGCTGGCAGCAGGTGAGGCCACGGCAACTGGCTGGGTGGACAGATGTAACGCGTAGGTGACTGGATGGATGGGTGGATGTATGAGCGAGCGGGCGTTATGGGGTGTGTGCGGTTGAAAAGGAGTGCGGGGAAGGATCCAGGCACGGCTGGTAAGCCTCTTAGGGTCCAGAACAACCACGCAACGGACCCATTGTTCGTCCTACTGCCGCCCCTGCGCTATGGCATGCCATGCTGGTCCGTTGCCCGCCCTCCTACCTCCTTATTTCCTGGGCATCTGGACCTCGCGTTCGGCTAACGTCCGGAGACGGTCGCTTTTGCCTCTCATCCTGCAGCCGCGGAGAGTATTGCGACGTTCCTCCGCTCCACCTCACACAACCTGCGCTATGTGGGTATTGATGCGCTGGCCGGCATCACGGCGCTCAACCCCTCCGCGGCGGCGGAGCACCAGGTGGCGGTGCTGGACTGCCTGGAGGTGAGGGGATGAGGACGGGGAGTGCTGGATGACGAGTAGCTACCGGGTGGACGTAACATAAAGCGGGTCAGCTATAGTGCGGGTTGGTTGGGTGTGGCAAGTGGCGTTGAAAAGGATGAAAGGGATACGCTACTTTGCCGGAAGGCTCAGCAGCTCGCGTTAGCCTGGTAAAAGCAGAAACCCGTCCGCTGCCCGTCCTGTTGTAAGTATTTCGTGCTTTGGACATCGGTCGGCAGTTGATGCTTTGCTTCTTGCATCATCATCGTCATCGTATGGTTTCCCTTTTTCCATCCGCTTCCCACCTAGGACCCGGACGACACCCTAAAGCTGAAAACGCTTGAGCTGCTGTACAAGATGACGAAGGCCAACAACATCCAGGCAGGCCACGGAGCCGGCACGCGTTGGGGGTTGGTTGGTCGGTTGGTTGGTTTGTCAGATGGAAAAGAGTCTGAACTGCTGTGGATTTGTTGTCGCCTGAAGAGGCCCTACCGCAATAAAATAATCGACCGCAATCGCCACGTGGCTGCTGCTCTAAGAACACACCGGAACCGGACACGCTCAGGCGGACGCACCTGCATCCGACATTCCTTTGCAACTCAATACTCTCCGTTGTTGTTGTTGTTGTTGTTGTTGTTGTTGTTGTTGTTACAGAGTGGGAGGCTTCTGGGCCATTTGCACACATTTGGAACTTACGAATCTCGGTCCATTCATCACCTGTGACCTCAACTCCACATCTCAGCAGCTAGCCATAATCTCACGCTCCCGACGATGTCGGGGGTCACCCAGGAATCGGACCCAGGACAGACCAGACCATACCATACCATACCAGACCATACCCTGCATATCCTGCACATGTGTGCGAGCTGCCGTCCCCACCCCCGCCTTCTCCCCATCCATCACACACGTGTAGTGGATCATGCTTTAGCAACAGCTTAGCGTAGGCGACATGTAGCGCATGTCATGGCCCAAATGGCGTCGGTCGTTTTTGTCCTTCCTGTCCTGTTTTTGTCCGCCCCAAGGGAAAATCACATTGACTCCAATATTTATCCCATGACGACTCTCCCATAGACTGCCGTCTCCTCTCTCCCCCCCCCCCGCTTTCCCGCTTCCCCTCTCTCTCTCTCTCCCCTCCCATTCCTTAGGTCATTGTGGATAAGATGATGGGCTACCTAGGCAGCTGCACCGATGAGCACATCCGCAAGGATATCGTGCGCAAGGTGGGTGGAGCCCTGATGCACTCCTAGTGCCGGCCTGGGCCATACGACAGCAGAAAGCTGGAAAATCGCCCTCCGTTGTCATTGCAGGCAGTTGAGGCCTGGGACGTGTCGGCGGTTGACCCTTCTTTTTCTTGCATCATGCGATTTCCCCCAAATCCCCCCAACCACCCTGGAGTATCCGTCTATACCTGGTACCTGCTTCACTCGTCCGTGGTTCAACTTAACCCCCTACCCCCCATCCACCCCGCACAGTTTGTATCCCTAGTGGGAAGAAGCCGTCTTGCCGCAGGGACCCTGGTCTGTCATAACGCGCAATCCTCCTGGCTACGAGCACGGCGACTTGTGCTCAAATCACTTCATATCGGAAGCTCTTAGTAATCAATGCGTGCGCCCTTACACGGATTATGCCTAGTAATCCATTTTCGGATTTTTGGTGTTTTGGCTCCTTGCTGCTTGACCCGCCACCTGGCACCCACCCAACTGCCTACGGGACTGGGTGCCGTACACTCCCGGCCTGCCGCAGGTGTGTGACCTGGCGGAGCGCTACGCCCCCTCACCCGCCTGGTTCGTGACCACCATCAGCGAGGTCTTCCGACTGGGAGGCGAGCATGTGGATGAAGCGGATGGCAACCGGCTGGTCAGGCTCATAGCGGAGCAGGACGCCTCGCTGCACACCTCGGCTGTGGAGGCCTACCTGCAGCTGTTGGATGGGGAGAGCGCTGCGGCAACTGCGGCCCCCGTTGGTGGGGGTGGGGGTGGCGCGGTGCCGCCGCCGAAGGGAGCACGGCGGAAGAAATTGCCGGAGAGCATTTTGCTGGTGAGTTCTGGGTTGGTGGGGAGGTGGGTTGAATAGGAGGATTGGCTGGGTAGGCGGTAGGCGGTGCCATGGAGTTGGAGGGACGACACTGCTGGGCGGTTGGCAGTTGGCAATCTGACCTTCCCGCGTCCCCAAGGTTAGGTGCGGATTGTATACGCCGGAGCGGGCAAAACCCAAGCTAGGGGATCCCTGTGGGGGAGGGTGGGAGGACACTTTACGTTAATGTTTAGTCCAGGGCGCCGTGCATAACAAATACGTTTAGCAAAATACCGTTCTAGTCCAGGGCGCCGTGCATAACAAATACGTGACTGTCTTTTGAGGACAGTTAATATGTGTTTATGTTTATGTGTATGTCCTGTTCCCGGGGGGAGATGTTTCGCTTTAAACGCATTGGACGGCTCCCGTTACGTCGCAGGTCATCTGCTGGGTGCTGGGGGAGTTCGGCCACCTTGCCCGTCGCCCTCCACTCGCCGTCCTGAGCCGCCTGGTGGGCATTCTCACAGCCCACAAGGCTGCCTCGGACCGCCTGCGTGGCTGCCTACTCACCGCATTGGCCAAGCTGGCAGCGCACACGGGCGGCGCGGCCGGACCGGTGGGGCAGGCGTTGCTGCAGAAGCAGGGATCCCATCACAACGCGGATGGCGGCGGGGCGGCGGAGGTTGCGGAGCTGGTGCACAAGTGCTTGAACAGTCAAAGCTTGGAGCTGCAGCAGCGCGCGCATGAGCTGCAGGCGCTGCTGGGGTAAGTCCTGAGTGGGTGGATAGTGGTAAGGCCCTGGCGGGTAGTGGGGACTAGGAAGAGGGAAGTGCGATTGGAAGTCAGGACGCATGGAAAACAAGGTCTGCAATAAGTTGCCTGGAGTTATTTTATCCTTGTCCTTTCACCGGCGCTTTTTCCCCCTCGTTTTCTTTCCCACCTCCTTCCGTCTCGGGGCCTTTCACATAGTATTTCTTTCCCCCCACCCCTCCTCTTCCCTCCCCTCCCTCCCCTCCCATGTTCAGCTGCTCCCCCGCAGTGCTAGCGGCCGCACTGCCCGTGGACGCCTCCTGCGAGGATTTCAGTCCTCAGGACCTGGAGCAGGTGGCGACATTGCCCTTCCTGGAGGGACACGTGGCGCGGGCGCTGGCGGCGGGTGCGGCGCCGTACCTGCCGCCGGAGGCGCGCGGCGCTCGTGCGGCGGATGGCGCATCGAAGGGTGGGTCTGGTGGCGCTGGGTCCGGTAGGCGAGTGGTGGTAACGGCAGAGCTAGAGGAGGGCGGCAGGTGCTGCGATTCAAGATGATTTTCTCCAGCATTCCTAGATTTTACGTTTCTTGCCCTTCTCAAATTACTCTCCTGCTCCTCTCCGCTGGTCCCTTTCAGGCCTGCGTTTCGAGGCATATGAGCCAGCCCCGTACGCCATCCCCCTCGCGGCCGCTTCAACCTCTTACGCCGCCGCCAGCGTTCACGATACGCGGTCCAGCTCGGCGGCGACCGCAGCCCCGGCGGCCGGTGGCGGAGCGGGACCCGCGGCGCCGCAGTCCGCACCATCTTTTGCGGAGCCCCAGCTCATGATTAAAACGACCGGAGGCCGCAAGTGGGGACCGGCGCAATACGAGACAGCGGACTACGGTGGGACGTCGACGTCATCAAGCCACGGCGCACCGGCGGCAACAGCGCCGGCGGCAGTGGCGGGGGCGGCGCTGTCCAAAAGCGGCGGTACTCACCATTCCCGTAGCGGCTCCGCTGCCAGCTTGACGAGCCAGGCGCCGTCAGAACGGGAACGACTGGCGGCGTCGCTCTTTGGCGGAGGCAGCGGAGGCAGTGGTACGACAGTAATTTCGAAGCCAGCGCCTGCGGGGCAGAGGCAAGTGAATGGCGGGGCCGCTGTTGCAACTGCGGCAGTGGGGCCGCCGCCGCCGCAGCAACGCAATCCCATGGACTTGTTGCTGGACTTGGATGTGCCAACGCCGCCGCCGCCGCAGCGGCCAGCGGGTACGGCGACGGCGGGACCCCCGGGTCAGGGTATAACGCCACCGCAGCTGGGAGGTGACTGGATGGACTCATTACTGCATGCCCCTGCTGGGCCTGCGCCGCCGGCGTCATCGTCGCTGGCCGGCTTGGAGCCCGCCAGAGGCGGCGTGGGGTCGTTCCTTGGGCCGGCGACCGTATCCAACGGCGCCGGCGCCATGATGTACGGCATGATGCAACCGCTTGCGCCGCCGCAACAGCAGCCCGGTGGCATGCCTCCGGTGATGGGTATGAGCGGGGGGATGGGCTTGAATGTGGGTATGGTACCTCCCCCAGGCGGCATCATGTCCCCGGCACCGGGGCATGGGCCGGGACTGGGCATTGGGATGGTAGGAGGCCCCGGGGCCTACGGCGCAGCGATGCCGCTGCAGCCACAGCCACAAGGGTGGCAGTCACAGCAGCAGCAGCCGATGTCCGGTGTGATGGGCGGAGGTATGGGCCTGGCTGCAGCACCGGCGGCAGCCCGTGGACCTCAACCGTTACCACTACAATCGCAACGCCAGGCGGATCCGTTTGGAGATTTGTTGGGTTGATGGGGGCAGGAACGGGGTTGGCAATATGTGTTGCAAGGTAACGTTACGCCGCGCTTGCACGACAGGGAAGCGCAACACCGACCTTCCAATCTCAACGGAGGTTAGTGGGAACATCGGGGGAGCAGAACTTGGTGGGCGGTGTTGCGGTTGGGTTAGGTTCTCCATGGGGAAGTGCAGCTGGCATTGTATGTCATCACACGCTGTCGTGTTTGCGGCTGCTGGGAGGGAGACCTCTGGTTGGATAATGCTGTAAGAGCAGCGCTTGCGGCTGGGTCCTATGCACGTGGAGAGGGGATGTAGACCAGGCGAATGCTTACCGGTAATCCTTACACGAGTATCGCACTTGCCGGGCTCCGCTGGTGTTGTTTGTTGCGGCGCCATGGCCACATGTGTGCATGCTCGGAAGTGAGAGGTAGTGCAAATGGTGTTGTAGTTACGTTGAGGAAGAATGTGCAGTTTAAGGATGTCCATTGGGAGTATAGCACAGCGACGACATTACTGCTGCTGTAGCTTGAAGTGGTGGATGTTTTGCGTGGAGCTGTGTCCATGTGGGATTCGGCTACATCGCTTCGTTGGTGGGGTGTTAACACTGTGGGCGGCTCGTCCCGAGAAAGGACAAGCACCGGGGGCCCTGACCGGACCGAAACACAGCGCAGGGGCGGGCGCGCGGCTCCACGTCCGCTTCGTGCTTGACGACGTGCAGCGTTTATGGCTAATAACATTTTTCTTCCCCGGACCGTGTCAATCACTGGTAGCTGCCACAACGCTTTCTAACAGACGACGACGACGTGACAGGGGAGCTATATTTTGCTAGGATGCTTACGTTGCGCCGCACAGTCACTTCCGGTGCAGCTACTCTCCTTTCCAGCAACGCGCTGCATACCGATGGACTTCATGATGCTGTTTTGACCGTTGCGATGATCTTTTTACGCTCTTGGAAAGGTTTTCCATACAGTAGAATCAGTTTGCGACCAGACCTGCTGCCTGCTGAGCTGGCGGCTGGTGCACGCTGAGAGATGATGAAAAGTTTCCCAACAAGATAGACAAGAATGCCAGCACAGTAGTTGACAGTACCATTCTTTACCTTTAAGCCGCCTTACATTGGCAACATCGTCTTTGTAACGCACATGCAACCTCGGGACACTCAGCATGCGAGGGGACAGAGGAGCTCTGATAATTCAAACATCCACTTCAATACAGTCGTTTTTACCGTGCGACGTATCATGCGCGCAAACGAATTTGGCACTACGAACTCTCTTTTGAGGCGTGCAAGGAGAAACGAGCTGCACATGACACACTCTTCTCCCCTTTCTTAAAACGTTGACCTCCAGAATGCAACGTTCCGCACACAGTAAGCATTGCGCAGCAATGGCCACGAGCCCCGCACGAACCCCTACCATCAAAAGGCAGTACTTTACACGGCTCAAACGCCGAATTGCCGTACATCATCACGTTGCCAAGACGACGCTATGGACGAAACGCGAGGTGGCGATATTCCAGGCTGGCGAGACTGGGGAAATACTCGTACCTTGTTTGCCCTAAACCAACGCCGCTCTCGTCCCTTGCACCCTCATATCCCGGATGCAATCGCAACGATGCACGTTTGCATCAACATCAACCACCCAACATAGTAATTTCAGCCCTATTTGATTATTTGAATCCTGAATCGTTTCTCGACGGAAACGAGTAGAAGCCCTTTCCGTCCTTTCCTCCTCTTTTCTTCCCGGTCGGCTGTGTTGATTGATTTCGCCCTCCATCCGCCCCCGGGGAGCTCAGGCCTGTCCCGTCACTGCCTTTTTGGCTCGGCCCGCCGCCTCCGTCACCTTCTCGGCGCCCGCCGCCACGCCGCCCTTAACCGCACCGGCGACGTCGTGTACGGCAGTCCGTACCGCTTCCACCGCCTTGGCCTTAACGCCTCCGTTGCCAACCTGTTGAGCCGTCGCGTCCACGGCGCCGGCGGTTTTATCTGCCGCGGCGGCCACCGCAGGTACGGCACCGGCCGCAGCGCCCTGCACCTGGTCCGCCGCCCTGGCGGCAGCCGCCGCCAGCGCGCCTCCTCCGCCCTCCCCGCCGGTGGCGGACGCCACAGTCTCCTGCGCCTTCTCCACCACAGCAGAGGCAGCGGCCTTAGCCTTCCCAACCAGTCCGCCGCCGCCGCCGGCCTCCGCGGCCGCCACCGACGCCTCCACGCGGTACGACGGATCTCCCAGGAGGCCCACGAAGGGCGACCAGAAGGTCTCCGTAGCGGCGGGAAGGTAGCCCAGGGCGGCGCCTAGCAGGAGACGCAGCTGCTCGGATGTGGTCGGGGTGGGGTGGGGTCGAGGACGGCCCGGAAAGGGGGGGGGAAAGGGGGGGTAAAACGTACCACTAGGTGAATGAAGCAGAGGGGACGGGGGGGCAGAAACAGCCTAGTGGCCAGTGACATTAACCCATTCGAGCAGTCGCTTGAATAAACCCTGAGACTCATGAGCTCCGATGTGACAAACATGTCCCGGTGGTGGATTTATTTTTTTCCTTGGTAATGGACGCGCAGTAGGAAAGTCGAAGTACCACCAGTTTTAGTTCTAGGCGTCTGTCCCGCTGTCCACCACCACCACTACCACCACCACCATGACCACCATTATGACAGCCACACGGATCTTGATCTCACGGGCAGCGGTGCCTTGCCCAGGTTGAGCAGCTTGCCGTCCACTGCGGTGATGACGTCGGAGGAGCCGTCCGCCTCCGGACCCTTGCTGATGCGCAGGTGGTAGTCGGCCTGCGGAGCGGCGGGGAGGGGGAAACAGCAGGCGGCCCCGGGGGGGAGGACATGATCTTGTGACAACATACGACATGATCTTCTCAGGGTGTGTGAGCCGGCAAGGAGGAGAAACCACAACACACACCAGCTCAGCTGACAAAAACAAGACCTCTATACAGAGAGAGAGGAACAGAAACAGAAACACATCTTAAAGCACTGTCAAGTTATTGGCTTAGGCTGTAGCAATTATATGCAGGCTGCAGCAGCTAGACCTGTGTCCCTACGTCCCTACGTCCCTGCCTTTTCTCCACCCCTTCCCTTCCCTCCCCCTCACCTCCAGCACCACCACCTTGGGCAGTAGCCAGGTGGCCGGGGCCCACAAGGGCCGGTGCGGGGCCAGGTGCACCTCCAGCAGCACCTGCAGGCGGGTGCGCTTCTCATCCAGCTCGCGAACCTGCGTGCGCGTGGGGATGCAAGCACATGCATGCATTCGGACATATGCATTCATACATTCATGCGATGTACGTCATTTATATGTAGGCACGTATGAACACGGTTAACAGAATACGTGTGTGCCTCGGGGCTTTACAATGTGGGCGGAGGAGAAGGACTTGAAAAATAGATAAGAGGGTGCGCGAAGTCAGCAGTAGGGAACAGCTGCCCCGACCCGATCCGACCTCCCAAAGCACCGAATGAGGCCCCGAGAGAACTCGGCTCCCAGGGGGGCAATCGGTGTGTTTTGTGCATAAGAGACTGGCAAGCAGGGGTCGCTGCTCCTGCTGCTGCTGCTGCAGACAAGGGCGGAATGGGCAGCTCGGGATTTGTTGGTATGCCGTACTTGCCGTACCTTGAACATGAGCGGCTTGACCTCTACATCCGCTAGGACCCACTTGGCCATGTACTCGGCCACTCGGAGGTTCTCGCGACCCTGCGGAGAATGGAGACGAGAAAAATTTGAAGTAGGGGGGAAGGGGGCAGGGAAACACGAACCGCGGCTCGAATCATTAATAGCCAACAGACGACCCGCTCGCGGAGGACCACATGCAAAAATAGGAAGGCGGCAACTGGGCCGATACATCCAGAGTAGAGGGAGTGGGTGTGTTGGCGGGGTTTGTTGTGGAGGTACGCCGCCATCATGTAACGCGAAAACAAAGCACTTGGGCGCCGAAGGATGGTCACAGAATGTGTTATTTTCCACACCATTATAATGTCGCCCAAAAATTCTTTTAGCTTTTAGTTTTGCGCAAATTTGCTGCACTAGGTCTCCCGGAAAAAGGATGTTATGTTTTATTTGTCACGCTGTACCACCGTACCACCGTACCACCGTACCTGCAGGTGCATGAAGGGCGAGTCCACCGTGATCTCCAGGTCCATGTGCTCAGCGGGGCGGCGGTGATCCGACATCTGGCGGGCCTTGGCAAGAGACTGCGAACATGGATGGGCATACAGAACCGCGACGGTGGTGGCAAGAGGGGATGGGAGGAAGTCCGATCTCAAGTTTCAAGTTTTAAGTTTCGCTTCGCAGCACAGGAAAGACTGGATGGACTGGGGGAAAAGGTGGGACTGTTGCGCATGGCCGTCTGGAAGTGAAGTTGTAATATTTTTATGTTATGTGATATGGTGAGGACACTTAAGACGTGTTTTTGCTGCTCTGGGGAAGGTACCCTCAGTATCGCGGCGCGGCTTGGCCTGGTGTCCAAGCTCACACGGCGAGAGGGTCGAAGACACATGCCGCGCGAGACGTTCCGTGGGAGCACGGGATAATATACAATTATTGCAAATACCGTTAGGTTCGTAGCCAATGGAAAATATACCTTATCGTTGCAAGCCTGTGTGAGCAAAACCGGATCAGCGAGTCCACTTCCGGAACTTTCGGAACAATAAAAAATTTCAACTGGCCATGTACCTATTATGTGCAGGAACATTCTTCATGCTACAGGAAAGCTTCGCCGCTGAGGATGCGTTTCCGAGGGAAACAACTTCTATGCTCAATTCTCCGGTGTCGAAGCTGAAGACCGCAGCAGCGCAAAGAGTTTAAGTACCCGCCAGCGCCCGCACGCACTAACAGCTAACAGCTCGCAGCCAACAGCTAACCATATAGTCCAATATTTCAAGCGGAGCTTTAGGCTTAGGCTTACCATCAGCGCCTCCACACTCGCCCGGTATCGCGGGTGCAAGTGTCGGTAGTCCTTCCACTCCGCATGACCATGACCACGACCGTGGCCCTGTGTCTGAGGATGCGCAGAAAGAAGCGGCTTCGCAGGAGATGCTCCGGTAGGTGTGGTGGTGGCCATCCTTTCTTTCAAATCCTCGGCCACCGCTGGCTGCCAAATAGAAGGTAAACTTTTGCGCTGCGCTGGCTGGCTTCCGCTCCTGCAACTTTCGAGACCCACAAGTTCAACACTTGGAACTTGCGAAAGAGCAAGTGTAACAGTATTAGGACTGTAGGAAAGGCAGCTGCTAAATGTAATTGGCCCAGCGGTCAAGACCTTATAGCTGCCAGGCGAGAAACAGCAGAGTGTGTGTTTGTTTCGGCGCAGCAGCGGCCTTCGACTGTGCTGTTACGGTAAATTGTACGGCGAACGAGGTTTAGTTGACGACATTCCGACGGCCTGATCTGACCGAACAACACCTGGCGACTTTGCGGTATCAAGTGGATCCTAACAGCCATGTTTCCCTCATGTATCGCCTCTTTCCGCAACAGGCGTCATTTCTACATACATGTTAGAATGAATGAAGATAACTTGCTCAATCTCGAATAGCCTCGTTCATGTTTGCGCCGTCCCCCTATCGCATTCTCACCCATGTCGTCCCCTGCTCCCGCTACACTGCGAGAGCACATCGCGAAAACCACACAGTACGTCGCGCTGACCCAGTTCATAGGAGGACTGACCCACGGGTCTGTTAGTGCTTGGCCCAGCATTGAGGGAAGATATGTACATAATAAATTTTGTCGAAAACAACTGCGGAGTGGCTGCAAAGAGGAGCTCCAGCAAAGGGAAAGGAAAAGACGTTCGGCAAAGGGACGCCCGCTATTTGTTGGCACAGAGTTGCCCTGTCAATAGCTAAGGCCGCTTCGGTAGTCGCAGCGCCAACCACGCAAGCTCCCGGTATCCCGTATGTTTTTGTTTTAGCTGCTTATCATTTTTAAGGGGCTGTTTCTTGTTTTTGGTTTGCATAACAAATATGCTTTATAAGCCGAGTACCTAAAGGATTCAAGTGGCCCAGAAGCCTCCCACTCTGTAACGACATTACATTATATAGAAGGATAATGATACTCGCCTTGGATACTTGGAGATGGGGTGTAGGGCCTCCAATCCGATTCCAACACTTATCCGTTAAAATAGCGACTAATATGCAACTTTCACCTTTTTCGATGGCTCGCCGTGTGGCCCATACCCTTTTCATCAAAGAGGCGACGGGTTCTTCTGGTATATTGGATGAAGCTATTCTTCTTTTGCAACGGACATTCCATCGTTTATGGTTTCATTTACGGTGGGAAAATGAACAAAAAGAGGTTTGGTGGCGTCTCGCGGTTGATGGGGTGCCTATGTTAGGAAATTCCCATCTTAGGATGTCGCGCCCAACGATATGTGGTTGTGGAGGTTATCCAATAGGTTCAGTGGGAGGTGTATCCCCTCGCTATCATCATTTCTGGGCTTGTCCGGTGGCACAGGCAGTAGCAGATCAACTTACTCTTTCAGTAGGATTGCCAGTCTCAAGGGAGCAACTTTGGCTTGTGCAAGCCCCACAATCAGTGCAACAATGTGTTTGGGATGTTGTGGCTCTTGCTGCGGTGTCAGCCATGGAGCATGGGAGACGTTATATGGCTGCAAACATGAAAACCAACCCGGCACTGTTACCTGGCCCTTCCCTTACGGAAGAAGCCATTTGTCGAGTTATTGTTGACTTTTGGGGCCGCATTCAGGGTTTCGCAGCTTTGGGAATTCCACGGAAAGGTTGGGATTCTGTTGGCGCACATCACCCCTTCTTGAGGATTATATCTGGCAAATTGCTGTGCTCACGGGAGCGGTTACCGATGAGCGGTTAATTATCTGAGGTGATGGTCTCTTTTGGTATATTAGTCTCTACTGCAGTGCACGGCCAGCTGGCCCGATGGCTCTACTCTTCGGGAGTCTGGAGCCCACTGTAACAACCACACACACACTCGCCAGGGCTTCGTTTCGTTAGGCGGTCCTGATCGGTTTTCCGTGCCTACGCTCCATGTTAGGAGTGTTAATAACCAGCGCGGGCAGCCAGAACTAGTTTTCTGGATTTGCTTGTTCTTATCCTTGGACCCTTAGATTTTTCCTTTTTTTTCTCGTCTTCTCTCCCATGGTTGTGCGGTCCACAAGCCTCCTGACTCGTCTGCTTTACAACCTCTAAAGCTTGTAACATCAAGGGTAAACGAAAAGTGTTATTCTGTTGTTATTCTGTTAACCTACTGCATCTCCTATTAACGACGATAGCACGTACGCTCGTGCCTAGTCGCGACAATAAGGCATTACGCCAAGATGACTAAATCACCATGACCAATTCAACCGACAAAACCAACCGACAACTGCAACGAACTCCGTACCCATGCCAACTTCCATTTTCTGAAGCTACCTCGCAGGGTTTTTACCATAACATACTCCACTACATAGCAGAGTAGGTAGAAGCCGACTAGCCGACTACGGGTCATTTCCCAAGCAACACACTCCCTGCTGCAAGCGCTTTACCTCGTCACGGCCAACCTCATCCTTCCCCCTCTCAACAGCCGCCCACCTAGGCCTGCCCTGTCACTGCCTTTTTGGCTCGGCCTGCCGCCTCCGTCACCTTCTCGGCGCCCGCAGACACGCCGCCCTTGACCGTGTCTGCGACCTCGTGTACGGCACCCCGTACCGCCTCCGCCGCCTCATGCGCCACACGCTTCGCACCCCCCAGCACGCCACCGCCGGCGCCGCTGCCAGCGGCCGCTGCTGCGGCATCCGCCATGCGATCCGCCGCGCCAGCAGCGCCCTCCGCCGCGGATTCCACCTTCGCCTTGGCGCTTCCCACGGTCGACGTCACCGCTTCGTGCGTGCGCTCGGCGGCTGCAGCCGCCGCCTGCTGCGCGGCGATGGTGGCCTTCTGTACGACGGAGGGATGTTCCTCGGCGCGGTCGCGGTACGACGGATCTCCCAAGAGGCCCACCAACGGCGACCACACGGCCTCCGTTGCGGCGGGGATGTAGCCCATCGTGGCGGCTGCCAGGACCCGGACCTGATGATTTTCAAATTTCAAAATTTATAATTTAACGTAGACGGCGAGGGCGGCAGAGAGGGGACCACTGGCGAGTTAAGCAGATACCAGAAATAGACGGATAGCCCAATGAGAAGATAAACGCTGCAGGAGTATTTACTGACCAGTGATGACTTGAATAGTGGTCACGGCGGCGACGTGGCCATAGCTATAGGTTGCGAAACGAGTTACTAGCCGCCAAGTCAAAAGAAGGCAGAAGGCGATAAAGCGGGGGAAAAACTACCTAACCGGCGAGACGAAAGGAAAGTCTTGGAAGAGAAAGGAAACCGGAGAGTGGAGATAACTTGTATAACGAGGCTGAGCTGTGACGAGGTGAAGTCCTCAACACACAGTCAGCCGTCGACGTCCAAAGCGGACAAAACGAGGGCTGTATGTGGGTGTCTGCTTTTATGCGAGGAAGTGATCCTGGAGAGCATGACTGCGTGGTGGCGGTACGGCTATCAACCAACTAACAAGCACCTACTAACAACCACCTACTAACAACCTAGGTGGCTGGCAGAGGTTAAGGCCTGACTTTTGCTCCCGGAGACTCCGGGTTCAAATCCGCCTGCCGACCTCTCGGGTGTGTTGAGGTGATGAAATGGGAGGAGGCCCCCCATCTTGTGGACGGTGTAGGACGTAATTAAATCAGCTTGTGAGCTGACCAGGAACTGGTGCCGACGATCCGCTAGATTTGGTTGAATGCTGGTGGTGAGTTACCAACCCAAAGAATACACTATGAAGTCGGATGGGGTGAATGGATTAGGGTGCCCCTCTAGCAGGGGAGAGCAGGGAATTGCCTCGGGAAGGAGGCCACTGGTTAAGCTTAACTACCCTGTAACAACAACAACTACAAAGAATGGGGAGGGAAGCACAACCCTGAGGAACGTACGAAAGAGTGATGGGAGGCGCCGTCCCTATGGCCGTTGCCGTTGGTTGCCCATTTCCCGTGCGAATGTGCGTTACAGGGGTAGTGGCAATACTCCCTCTCCGCTCCCCGGCTCCCTCACCGGCATGGGCAGCTTGGGCGCGTTGTGGATGGAGCCGTCGATGAGGGTGACGACGTCCGCGGAGCCGTCCTCGGCGGGGCCCTTGCTGATGCGCAGCTTGAGGGTGGCCTGAGGACATTTAGTGGCACGGGGGAACCGCGCGGGTGTGTGTAGGAGTGTGTGTGTACGCGTTTGTGCGTGGAAAAGTTTGCCAATCGGCTTGGTAGGTGGGAGCAGCGCTTTCCCGTGGGCTCTGTTGTCTGTTCCCTGTTGGCTCCATTATTACCTTGAGTGTGACTTGTTTAGGCAACAGCCACGACGCCGGCAGCCACCAGGGGCGGTGCGGCCTCACCCGGGCCTCAACAAGCAAGTCCAGCCGAGTACGCTTCGAGTCCAGCTCGGACCACTAAAGGCACATGTGGGCACCGGAGCGCGCAATACAAAAAACGGATTTATAAAACACAAGGACTGGTGGCTATAGGCGGTAGGGATAGGCGGTAGGTGAGCGGAAATACATTTAGGAGGACCCGACCCGACCCGACCCGACCCGACCCGACCCGGCTAACATAACCAGGAAAGTGTGCACCACCAGTCACGTCATCACCGCAACACACAAAGGCTGTCGGTACGGCCGCAGAGGGCGGGCAAGCGGAGCAGCACGGGGGAACAAGAAATCCCCAGCTGCCGAGTGCAGGGCCCCCGCTAGGGCCCCCACACACCCCGTCACCCAACGTCCGTCACATCGTCATCGCCGTTCCGAAGGCCCCCAGTCGGCTAGTAGTCCCACTGCTTAGTAATGGGCACGTCAAGACGTGTAGGGTTTTACGGCTGTGTTCCAACCCCCACCTTCCCCGCCGCGACTCGTCCCCTTCCCCCGTTGCTCTCCTATCGCCCCACTCACTCGCGCCATCCAGGGCTCCAGCTGCACGACTGCCGCCCACTTGGCTAACCACACAGCCACTCGCATGGGGTCGCGGCCCTGGGGGGGAAAGGGGAAGGGAAACGCGTGCGCGTGTGTTTTCGTTGTATGGAGCACCCGCACCCACGCCGACACCCACACACCTGCAGGTAGATGGGCGGTGCATCCCAGGTAACCTCCACGTCAAGGTGCTCGGCGGCGTCCCAGTGCTGCTCCATCAGCCTGGCCGCCGCCAGGCTCTACCGCCACCAGCACCGCCACCGCCAACACCAGCACCACCGCCACCATGTTGTGCGGGAGAGATTGAGGCAGCGGCAAGGGGGGGGGCCGGGGAAAGGGGTTGGAGCGCGCGGGAAAGGCGGGGAAAGGGATTACTACGATATCCATTTGCGGAGGTCATGGGGGGCCATGATCTTGCCTGCCGTCCGTACTAGTGTACGTCACCTCTCGTCGTCAAGTTCCCATAAAGACTCCTGAAGTCCGTCGTGGCCGTGTCTGGCCAGCTGGCCATCTAGCACCCTGACCACACCAACCCCTGGCACTCGCTCAGACAGCAGCCTGACAACAGTCCCGAACAAGCCCTAACAAGGCCCCGCTTCCCATCATCTCCCCAGATACTGCGGCCTGAACCCCCTCCCCACGCCCTGCCCCTGAATACCCTCACAGTGCACAATCACGAAACAGGAAACAAAGCCCCCTGGCTAGCTCGGGCCCAAATCCCTGCTGCGGCTACTGGCGGCTTCCTTCTCTGTCCTAACCCCCTCTCCCCCCCTTCATTCCCGGTTTCCCTCGTCATTCTATATCTACTGCTTCCAAGGTTTACTTCGATCTCTCTCTCTCTTCTCTCCCATATTGAACCAACAAAACGAGCCAAAACGCTCACACGCACGGCCTCCACAGTCGTCTTGTAACGTGGCGGCAGGGCCGAGTAGTCGTGCCATTCCGGGTGGCTGACGCCAGACATGGGGGCAGTAGTGGTTGCCGGGGGGGTACCTGCCGGGGGGGTACCTGCGACTGCAGCGACAGAAGACGGCCCGGGACCAGCTGACTTCCTCCTAACCATGGAGGAGGCTGTAGCTTGCGGGTGCGCGGCGATAGGTTTGGCTGTAGCAAACTCGAACGGCGCCTGTGCGGATGACGACGTGGGCGGTATGAAGCTTTCCACGCCGCCTAGGAAAGCAGTAGCGACGTCGGCAAATCCTCCTAGTGTGGCGGCGCCGGCACCGATGTCCTCCTCCTCCTCCTCCTGCTCCTCCGGCGGGGCTGTAGCAGTCAGACCGCTCAGCAGCAGTAGCGCGGTAGCGGCGAGGTCGGCGGGGCTCTGCGGCTCGCCGGCAGCGGCGGCGGCGGCAGCGGCGGCGACGGCGGGCAGTAGCAGCTCCTCCGCTGCCTGCTCGAGCTCCGCCGCCTGCTCCTCGCTAACAATGTACGACGCTGTAACGCTTGCGGTTGCAACCGTCACGACCTCCTGCTGCACCTCCCCTTCACCTCCCTGAAACGGCGGGGCGCTCCGGAAGGTGGTGTTGACGGCGCCGCGGGGAGGGTCGTATCCGGGGGGGTCGGAACCGTCCGACTGCGTCGGGACTGTTTGGCGTTGCGTGGTCCTTGATGCAATGTTCGCGGCGGGAGTTGTTGAAGGGAACGGCTCGGACGTGGCGGAAGCGCTCTCCAGCTCCTGCTGCAGCTTCCGCTGGCGCTGCTGCAGCGGTGACGGCGCTGTCAGCGGCTGTCCAGAGACGCAGTCAGTCAGGGGCTCGCCCTCCAAAATCGGGACCAGGTCGTCGTCGGGCACGGCGGGTGCGTACGCAAACGCAGGATCGCGGAGCTGCGCCGAGCCGTCCGAATCCAGTAACAGCGGCGTTGGGCTGTAGCTGCGGCTGTTGACCCGGCTACAGCTTGCAGATCCCGGCGTGGATAGGGGCCCCAGCGGAAAGGAGACTGGGGAGGTGCGGCCCGGTGCGTCCGCGTCGGGTTTGATGTCAAGGTTGACGGTTGGCTGCGGAAGCGTGACGTCACGCTGCTGGTTCGTGCTGATGGTCGTGGTGGTGGTGGCGAGTGGACGCTGTGGCAGTTGCGGAGGTTGCGGTGGTTGTGATGGTTGTGCCAGCGCAGTGGTGGATGTAGTGGTAGTAGTAGTGGTAGTCTGCGGCGGAAAAGCGAGGAGGAGGAGGAGGAGGAGGAGGAGGAGGGCATGCGCAGGGCGGGGACAGGAAAGGCGCAGGGCGTAGTGGGCGCGGAGGATGTTGGGCGGGGGTAAACTTGGAGGGCGGGGGGAGGGGACCGCGGGTCGTGAGGGCTAGGGCCGCAGCGAAAGGCGAGGGCAGAGGGCTAAGCTGGGAAAACAGTATGGACGTAGCTATGGATTTGGCTGTTCCGCTGCTCGCCTTCCGAGTTCCGGTGCGAAGCAGCAACGGCCAGTGGCAGTGGCGATCATGGCGTGACACTGTGCGAGACATTGTCAGGATGTGTGCTCGATTAGGACACATTGTATGTCCAGTAATTTGAGTAATTTGCACGCAAAGGAAATGCTGGCGGTGCACGGCGACTGGAACAAACGGGAATGTGAAGCTCCAGGAAACTGTCCCTGTCGCCCTCGTCTCGTCGCCCAGGTGGAAGTCCCAGCTGGGGCGGCCTCGTCGCGAATGCCCTTGTTCCCTTTGCTCACGTTGCTACGTGCGAGACGTTCGCGAAGCTCGCTAGACGGTTACCATAAATGCTTTTCCGTGCAGGGAAACAGTACTCCGAAAGACTACAAGACACTGAGACTGCAACTGGGTAGCGGGCGGCGGCCACAGCCTCGAGAGGTAAGGGTAGCGCGCTGCTGCACCTTCCTTTGTGCTAAGTCGTTCAGAGGGTAGCGGTAGCACGCGAGGTCCGCAAGTGGCCTAAATGCGACGGCGCGAGTCCAGCACCGTGGATACCTTGCTGAACGAAGCAAACTACGCACCTTATCAAAATTACCAGCAGGTCGATTAATAGGAACGATGTTGGTGGTATGATTATAACGGCGGTCCATTATATCTGGCAATGGAATGGAGGGGAACGAGCGCGGAGCTGCTGTCGGAATGTCACGCCTCTTTGGTCACTTCGACGCCCTGACGTCACCTCTCGAAGGAATCCTTGTCAGCACTTAACTTAACCACAAGCGCGCGATGTAACGTATGGGGTTATGGCGTCAGTCGTGAAAATAGGATGTTGGTTACTTGTGTTGTAGGCGCACGCCAGCTCCACTGCCCCACGGGACGCCGGCATTCCATGCCTGTCCTACTCGTACCTGGACGGGTTAACCGCAAACTTGCCAACGAATTGAGAAACAAGCATTTATTGCCAGAGGAATATGATGCAGGAGTCTCGCGCAGATCCAACAGCTCGAGACAAAGCTGCTCGGCGCTGGATGTTAAAGTTCAGAAACCGACTCAGATTTCAAGTTAAAAATAATTGACTAGAAAGAGGAAATTAGGCCCAAACCGGCAAAGCAGGACAAGGGCCCGACAAGGATTTTGCATACAACAAGAGGTTGGCCGAATGCAAGCCAGAACCCCGTTGCAAAATGTTGCTTGAATTGTCACACGGCAAGCTCAGTACACAAGCAATTCTTAGCCTTATTACCCCTCCGCCACTTTTCTCTAGCTTGAAAGCAAAGAGCATTCCATCTTAGTTTAGCTCTGTTTGCTTTGCAGCTTTTCAGACATTCGATGCAAAAAGCCTTAATTGTTTCTCAAGACCCGCTCCTAAACCCCTGGTAGTACGGCAAACGCGGTTCGGTTGCACAAACTCAGTGCCCGAGCGACCGTCGTCCCTCTTCCCTCGTTGCCTCGTTCTGTGGTCGAAGGCAGGAAAAATGGTGAGACGCTGCAATACGAATTTACGAGAGGCTGTTTCTTCAGTGTAATGCTGCTAGGAAGCTTGTAGCCATAGCAATATGCGTTATTGGGTGCTTTTTCGGCACAGGTGAATGTACCTAAGACCAAGCGGGCCTTCTGCAAGGGGTGCAAGAAGCACATGATGATGAAGGTCACTCAGTACAAGACGGGCAAGGCCTCGCTTTACGCCCAGGGTAAGAGTTGCAGTAAATGACGTTTTTGCACGTTACCCGGTTGCGATGGACCTTGGAGCAGCGGCTGCTGGCGGCAGGAGGCTGAACAGCAGCCGCCTTGAGCCATGCAACCGAACCTCAAGCCCTAAATTATCCTGTCGGAAGCTGTTCTTTTGTGACCAGAAATGCTGTGCTTTTGATAACATCCAACCTCTCGACTTCCTTCTTCCGCCGCGTGGTGGCAACTTTTAGCTGGGAGGTCGCCGGGTTCAAGCAAGTGACGGTTTTTACCGTGGTCGAAAACTCATCGGTGCATTTGTTGTGTACAGGCAAGCGCCGCTACGACCGCAAGCAGTCGGGTTACGGTGGTCAGACCAAGCCCGTCTTCCACAAGAAGGTGCGGCGGGGTGGCGGTAACTTCCATGCTCAATCCAGCCCCATCAGGCCTCGTCGGGAGGTCGTGTTGCTTGGTGTCGTACCCTCAATTCCTGTGGAGGGTGTTGCTTTGGTTTTGGGTGGCCAAGCAATACGGTCGCAGTGCTTTGAGGGGAAAAACACATTTGATTGTGCTAACAATTGCTTCTGCATTGTTTTATATTCTCATGAAGCATGCTCAGCGATGTGTTTTCGCCCGCGAGCCGGTGATCTTGTACGGCAAGTAATAGGGGCATGCTGGTATTCGGTTACGTGAATAGATGACCCAAAGCTATGCGTGATCATTTTCTCACGATGTTCACAGCCTCATGCTGACAAATAGCTACTTATGTGGGGTTTGCATTTTTCAGGCCAAGACCACAAAGAAGATCGTGCTGAGGATGCAGTGCCAAGAGTGCAAGCAGACCTGCATGAAGGGGCTCAAGGTAATTATCCCTAACTGTGCTGGTTGGTGCCAATGCTGATAAATGTTTATGCATTTACCACTTGTCAATTGCTGTTTGGATGTCGCCTCCTCCGCTTTGAATTTCGGCCTTGTGGCCCCCTTAATCTGTCCCACAGCGCTGCAAGCACTTCGAGATCGGTGGTGACAAGAAGAAGGGCAACTGAGCTTTGGCACTTCGGCTTGGAACGATGTAATACCCTTTTGACATATCATTTGTTCTTTCTGGCCCTAGGGCGTGTGCTGCCAAGGCCCCAAATACACATTCATTCCTCTTCGGTCCCTCGGTTATGCTTCCATGGGCAAACAAGAGAGAGCGCTTGTACTGTATCGGCATCAGCACACGAAACTAAGTTGTTTACAGTACGCGTTGGGACCAAACATCTTAACATGCAGGACAGCCTCGAATCCATGTATAGTAACCCTCGCCATTATTGCAAGCCAGGACTTGCAGGAGTAAGCGAATTTTAACAATTTCTTGCTATGTAGTCACGTTTTCGCGATATGCTGTACGAGATAAATGCACTGCCGATGGGGTAACTAGGGATTTAGGAGATCATGCGGGTCATTTCTAATTTTCGAGTATGTACACTGTTACATTAGGGTTAATCTCCTAATCGTATTTGCGTGGCAGAGAAACAAGCTTGATTTGTGGATGTGTTCTAATATTTTACGTCTGTCGTGTCACCGTGGTGGGAGCGACTGCAATCTATCCAACATTCAGGCTATGCGATCAGGACTGCAACTGCGTGACCGGTTCTTAAGCAAAAGCTGGCAGAGCTAGAACGCCACCTGGCGGGGATTTGCGAACCACGGTTAAGGAGGAGCATTTGTCCCAGCAGCATATAATATTCAAGCTCAAAAGAAGCTTAGTCCGGAAAAGAAGAGTCCGTAACAAGGTATTGCTACATCTCTTATCATCACAGTGCCCGGAATATGTTTTCATACTTAACGCAACCAGCAGCAGCTTTCCAGACGCTCTTGCATAAGCCTGCTATATTATCCAACCAGCCGTCTTGCACCTACGCGTCACCACTGCTCTACCCTTCCGTGCTCTATTTCCGACCGATCCATGCATGACCACGAGACCCTAACCATGTCCTGATAAAACCCAAGAAAAAACAAAAGTCGCCAACCCTGCCACCACATTGGTACGTTATTACAAGCCAACATGCACGGACAGCTACGCCTCACAGTTCCCTAAACCTATACGTCTTAACTGCAAGAAGTAACTGCCCGCGCCCAGACCCAACAACACACTGCAAGATCCACTGGTGCTGGGTCCAAAGCAGTTCAGGCATCCTGGATAATCTGGTGGATAGCCTCACTCAGCTCCAAGGACTCTGCGCGTACCACGAGCTTCATAGCCACATTACTCGCGGAGTCAATGCCAAACGACATTCGAACCAGAACCTGAACAGCGAGGGGTGACAACGTTAGGCTTTAGTGTTATACATGGACTTAAGAAGGGGATAGAAGGCAAAATTGAGAAAATGGCAAGGAGCAAACGAAACCAGGAACAGGAGCAGGCCAACCTAGAATTATACATTCTTACTTGTTGGTAACCCACAAAGATGCCAGCCAATAGCACCGTATGGCTGCGTGCGTTGGGAGGCACCGCTTCACTGCCTTCACATGGCTGCATGCCCAAAATGCCGATTACCGCCTCAACAGCCTCCTGCAAAGTTCGGGCGACGAAACTTTAATGAAATTGACTCTATACGCATTGAATAATGCAGCAATTACCGCATGAACCAAGGCACAAAAGGCAACCCAGAACATAGCCAACGGCGATATTAGCTGGCAACCCAGCCATATGGCATTCAACATCTCCAACACGAACATCATAAGCAGGACCCAGTTACAAAAGCCTGCACCCACCTGAAGTCCTTCGCGCGTCCCCAGGCCATACTCGTCCTCCTTCTCGGTGGCAGGATCCAGCTCCTCCCAAGCCTTACGGAAGTTGCCGAGAAGCGTGGGCTTAACGTAGTCCGCCGGGGTCACCTGCAAAGAAAGTTGGAAGGGTTTTAAAAAAAACCATACTTAAATAACACACCTAAAACCCTTAAAATCCACACCCCCGCAAAAAGGAGCATGAGGCAACAATAGCACCAGCGATGCTCAGCACATGCAACCAAGAGAGTTTCCATACGCTATACCAGGCATGCCCACCTCCAAATCCTCCAGCTGGTACTCATCATCATAGCCTTCCTCCTCCGCCTCGCCAGTGCCGGGGTCGATCTCCTTGACCTAAGGAGTGGAAAGGGGTTCGTCTTGTGTAAGCCTGATGGCGCGTCTCAACACCAAGCAAATAACGCCTTGGAACATACCTTAAATTTCAGGATATTGACGACTTTTCCTGTCGCAATGGCGCCCGGCTGCCGCGACACAACAGTGAAGCACTGCCCCACCCCATTTAGAGGCATCGTGTCGAGGGGTACGGTGAAAGCCTCCTCGAAGTCGGCCTGCCGCGAGATCAGCACAACAACGCACCTCACGCCAAGACATCCACGTATTAAGCAAAGATACCGTGATGTTCGATACTGTAGTTGCTTGTCAACAGCCACATCGCACCTGTTGCTTGTCCCTGATTGTATTGAACTCCAGCAGCGAAATTGCTGACGTGCATCAGTGCATTCCAATGACAAAAACTTCAAAACTTTTTGAGTCGTCTGACCTCAGAAACTTCAAGTCGGCAACGCCCATTACGTCGCGCAGAAAGAAAATATTTGCCAGAGGACTTTTGCAGATCAATGTCCGCCCCGATCCGCAAACAAACATTCCATCCTGCTTACCGCTTCTGCCAAATCCATTGCAACGCTCACGTCCTCCAGGACTTGCTCCGCAATCGTGTTAGTGCAGTTGAACTGGAAGACTATGTGCGACTCGTAAATGTGCTTTACACAGAACACGGCATATTCCGTATCCTCCTCGGTAAGCCGAACCGGCTCGCAGGACTTGAAGACCTACACAACGAACAGGCGGTAGCATGCGTTGCTGAGGCTAACCTATCCCATCGGCAAACAGGATCTGCAGCGCATGAGGACGGCCGTCCATCATTGGCGTGATGAGGCATCCGTGTGAGCTTAAAAGGGACGGGCCAACTAAGATCAGACAAAGAACAGGAAAGAGGTCAACATGCCCAACCAGTGTTGTCACCGAAAAAAACACCGGTGGAATCATAGAAAATCCCTGCCGTGCGTAGCGCAGGAAGGACAGGACACAGGATTATCGGGACAGCCCACTTTACCCACCTCCCCCAATGGAGCAAGTTGGGGAATCGACCGGAGAAGCTCGGCATATTCGACCGTGGGGTCCCTCCGTGCGGCGCTGGTTGCCGGCAGTCCGCTGACACCGCTCGCAGCTGCAGCACCTGGAGGGAGGCCCAAGGCACTGATGCCCGCTCCACGTACCGATGGGGCGGCTTTAGGGACGACCGACTGCAGCACGGGTGACAGCGATGTTGCATACATTGTAAGGTGATTAGTACAATTTTTAAGGATCATGCGAAACTCAGTTGTGTGGATCGTGAAGTCAGACAGTTCACAGTTCGGCCCTAGAGCTCTAAAACCCGTGGAGGGCTAATAAACCTCAATTCGTACTACAGAGCCCCTGGGCCCCGCCGGTGCAACCAACCCTTAATGCGACTTACGATATCGAAAGGCTTATCCGTGGGACCCGCCAAATAGTCTGCCAGGGCCTTCTCCATGGCCACAAGGTTCACATCCACACGTGGCTGCACAGCGTCCGGCCCACCTGCCTTGCCCACAAGCTGCTCCAGGTGCAGCGTCGCGCGATCACGTACCTGAACAAATTCACAGTGTTTAGGGCCCTTTAGCAAACATTCCGGCATCTCATTTACATTCCGCAACTTAAGCCATGGTTACAGTTGAATAATTTCGGCGTTGGTCCCCGTGCCAAGCGCACATTCGAAAATACGACTGGACGCATGCCAGTCTGTGACGCCTCGCGCATGGCGCTGCTCTGCCACTCCGTGCCAATAGCCCCCAAAGCCGTAAGGTGCAGGGTCCTCCTCTCGATATAGCTTTCCCTTAGTATTTAAGGCTATGACTGTAAAACACTGTGGTACCGTAGGCTTTGGCTGTAGAATGACTTCTGAACGCACAGAATCCTCAACGACGAAGCTGGTTAGTTTGAATCATCCCAGCCTGAACCCAATTCCCAGTGATTCCCCTAGTAAATGCCAACACTAACCTCGTCGTCATTGTCCGAAAGCGCACGGCGCAACAGCACGATGATACGGGGCCGCAAGGCCTCGCATGCAGCTCCAAAGTTGGCCAAAGCTGACACAGCTGCGGCCCGAACTGTGGCGTTCTCCAGAATAATCCGGTTGTAGATGTATCGAATGTACTTAGAAGGCTCCTTTGTCTTCGGGCCTTCTTGGCCTGCAGGAATATAACCACAGCAGACAGCCTCAAGATCATTAACTGCACCCAAAACATGTACAGCACGTCCTCATATCCGGGCTCAATACTACTAGGAACACTGCATGCGCCACCCCTGCTTATCGGCACGCTGGCGCTCTGTGACATCGCCAAGCCTGGTCAACCCTTTACTTCCAAGCCCCCCTCTGGGCCCCGTGCAGCCAGTTTCGTACCTAGCAGGTGCAACACCTGCGTAGACAGGTATGTGAACTCGCAGTCCTCGATGAACTCGCATAGGTGCCCTAACCCAGTTTCCTTGGCGTCGGGTATCTCCTGGATCAGGACAAGGATGCTTTGGACAATGGCCTTCTTATACTCGAAACCCCCCTCCTCCCGAAGGACACCGGACAAGAAGTTCATCAGCGCACGCTGCTTGGATGGGAACTTCAGGCACAAGGACCGGATGGCCTCCACCACCACTATTTTGAAGTCGTCCGCGATGTCCGACATGAAACTGCCGATCTGCTTCAGCAGTTTCTCCACGCTGGACTCGTTCCCCGTCTTCAGCAGCGTCGTAATTGCCAGCGTGGCGATGGACCGGTTTTGGTCGCTGATAAGCGATTCCATGTCGATGTTGCAGTGCGTAACCGCGAGCGGATGTGTCATCGCGACCTTGTTAAGGGTTCGCACTGCTGCAAACCGTAGAACCGGTTTGCTGCTGCTGAGGAAAAGCTGCAGGACGGTAATGGCTGGCGTGAGCTCACGCGCCGTGACATCACGCAGGTTGCAAATCGCCCGCGCTGCTTCAAAGATCACCACCTCAGCCTTATGTCGCAAGCAGCTCTCCAGGAAATCGTAAAACGGCCGCTGTTCGCCATTCGACCCCGGTTGCGAGTCCTGGATCACCTGAGCGACGTAGCGCACCAGCAAGCATTGCGCCAGCGGGCTTTTCACGTTAGCCTTTGTAAGACTCGTAACTAGCTTGCTGATGGCAAGGCGATCTGAAGCTCGCAGCGCGTGCAACAGGGCAACCGCATGGAACTGCACCATGTTGTTTTTGTTCTGAGCTGCCTCCTGCACCTCATTGACCCATCGCTTGACAATTTCTGCATTATTCCCGAGTAGGTGCAATGCACTGACCAAGGCTGCGCTGGCCACAACTGCCGACTTGTCCACAATGGCCTGCTTCAGGTATCGCTCGATTTGTGCAAGCAGCTGCCCATCAATGATTTTGCAAAGCACGCGGACCGAATTCGCGCGATAAAGATCTGTCTTGCTGTTCATATCCTTCATCAGCGAGCTGGTCACGATGATGACCTCGTCCGCGCCCGGGCAGATGTCCTTGATGCACAAGTACATCATGCGCCGCAGGTTAATATCTTGCTTCTGAAACAGCTTGGTAACGCCAAAGAAGACCTCAGCTGCCTCTTTCTGCAGGGGGTGGCACATGCCGTCTTTGCACGGCTGGGGGCTACAATGGGCGAACACAACAGCTTCGCACCTTGGTGAACACCTCGCCCTGATTAAGCAGGTACAGCAGCTTGGTAATCACCTGTAGACAACAGGAAATCGAATCACCGCAAGGCTTTCCAAGGAAAAGGAACCTTTCCTTCCCAGCAGACCTGCTGACATCTCCGAGGGTCAATTTGCGGGTCATTGAACACCCTAGCCTCCTGCAGAACCGCGCCCTTATCAATCCCATAGAAGGGAGAGAACTCCGCTGCAGTCGAGACAAAATGTGTAAGCCTAGCTCCTGTCCAGCCACCATGCCAAATTTGGTGTCTTACTCTCATCCTCCCGGTCCTCATCCTTCTTCTCGGGGCCCCGCAGGGGCGCCTGCGAGTCCTGAGCAGTAGCAGCCATAACACGAGCTGCGGTTGTAGGTCACTGTTCTAGGGAGTAGTCATACGGCCGGGCTTCTTCTCAGATCAAGACTGTTTCATACAACGCAAACTGCGCCCAGGTGACTCCAGCCACGCTAACAATATTGGGCCAGCAATACCTCTTATTCATGCATACCAGTTGCAAGGGCTTTCCGCTGAGCACGCAGGGAAATGACGTACGCCGGTACGGAAGAACGGTTACTCCTCCACGCCAGGGCTAACCCCCTAGCTCCGCAATAATGTATATTTTTCATTGATGGTTGTTAACCATTTACCGTTCTTCTCAAATGCAATGCTTGCCTTTCCATTACGCCTACGTTCTGCCGAACCGCGTATGCTTTGTGCATGCACTATTCGCAGCATCCAACAAGTTAAAGAAACGTTCCATGAAGCGAAGGTATAATGCCACACGGGCGCTGAGGAAAGGGGAGGGCTGTTTTTTTAGCGAGGGCCAGAGGGCATGGGTGAAGGATACCCAGCCACTTCAACCATGCCACACCAATTATTCCCATCCTCTTGCTTCAGTGGTCAAGGTTAAAAAGGGATCTGCCAGTCCTTACGTGGGTCCCGGTCGCCCCCGAACGCTCGTTCGAAACCTGTATCTTCAAGCGGGTTGCAGGAGCGCTCGCAAGTAGACATGGAAAGGTGGTTCGGCACCTGCTGGTGAGCGCACGGCTCGCCAGGTCACACCTCGCTATCGCGGTCTCCGGACCCGTTTCGGCTTAGATTTCTGATTTTCCCGAGACAAAGACTGTAGTAAATCAAGGGGGTGGCTCGCCCGACTTACAACCATCAGGCATCAACGGGATTCGGGTCAGCCGTTGCGCTTGGCTGTATAGCTGGGCCACGCCGTGCCGCACGATATCAAACCTGAACGACGCCCTGGGGCCTCAGTCAGCCAATTCCCCTCTTGTGCAATCGTACCGATGCGCTCATCCGGATTTGCCAAGCCACGAAATGTAACCTCCAACACTGTGCCCGAACGGCTGTGGGGCCAACTGGTGGGCTTGCAAGCTGCCAGGCCAGGTGCGCGCTAACTCCGTGGGGAAGTGTAGTACTGTCAGAAATCTCTCACGCTCCACTACAGCTTCGTTCTCCGCCACGCCGTAAGTAGGCTTCTCTCCACCTGTTTTAAAAGGGATGCAATGGGGATTTTTGAAGCTATGTGCCGCATCCGACGCCGCGAGTGCACCATCATTTCAATGTATGTGGGGTGCGTGTGTGTGTTACATGGTCGTGGGGTGGCATACCTGCAAACCGCCCAATACGAGCCGAGGGCTCAAGGGCTGCCAGATCGCCTATAAGGACCATTCTACCTCGCACTTCAAACAAAGCAAGTGACAAAGGAGACTAACGACCAAAGGGAACGATAGAGTTGCAGTGGGACCACATACGTTCCAGCATCTTCGCCAGACGTTCAGGTTCCCACTTCATAGCGTCCGTCAAAGCGGTGGAAATCCATATCAGATCTGATTTCGCCGTACACCGGACAGTCCACCAAGAGATGCTTCTCATCTCATCACCAATATGGCTATCAGTGCCGCAGCAGGGGCCACACCCGCCCCTCCCTAGGTACATAACGCCGTACCTTGCGCGCTCTGTTAGCCACCAACGCCCAGCAGCAAGGCCTAAGCTGCATAAGCTTACAATTCACTGAACGCGGGATAATTGTTGTGATATGCATGAGCACCTCCTTCCTGCCCGCTTGCTCAGCCGCCAGACCCATCCAATGTTTATATCATAATGCTACCTGCCCACGTCTCATCGCTGCACACTGGGCAAACGCCGGCGGAAACGTCAAGATGCCGCCGTAAAGCTTGCCATGGCATGATTGGGGAGGGGTTGGTTGGTAGGCTAGCGTGGCCATCCCGCCATGCTGTATCTGTACCCCACATATTCGGCCGAGAAGAGGAAGGCTCCGCATCGAGTAATGGTAGGCGCAGGCGACGGCGGGAAGTGAATCAGCTTGTTCCGGTACTGCACGTGCTTTTGGAACATATCAGGGCGACTGGAGACTTTCCACGGCAGTTTACAACTACCGTCCTCACCCCAATTTATAAAAAATGGGATCCTAGCATGCCGAGTAACTACCGGGGCATAGCAGTAGGGGGGGCCGTTTATGCTAGCTGAGGTCTTGGACAGGCTCAGGAGGCGGAGTGATGCGAGAACCTTGCGGAGGGGCCCTTCGAGGCATGCCTAAAGGACGGAGCGGGCAGCTTCAGATATCGTTCATGCGACAAACTGTAGGAGCTGCCAGACCAACACATCGCCTCCTGATTGCCGAACTGTCGCAGCTACCCCTACACTACCACGTTTTCAATCAGGTTGTGAGGTTTTGGAACCGTGTCCGTTTACAGCGTGGGTCTGTGGCACACCAAGTTTTGCGACAGGAGGTCGCAGAGTCCCTCTCCAACCCCGGATGGGGTACACTAGTACTCCGTTTTCTATGTTTTCCGGGGCACGACGTATGGAAAGAGGCCCCGCAGGGGCTACACGAGGTAGACGAACGAGTGGAGTGGCTGATGAGCAGGCCCTTTCCAGAAGGTGTGGTATTAGAGTTCAAGGACCGATTGGTGAGTGGTTGGAAGCATATGCGTATCTGTACCCCACATGTTCGGGCGCTGGGACCGCTGGGTGATGAGGATAGTACTTGGCTGAGAGCAAACATGGTTGCAAAAGCTTGGCAAGTGTAGGAAGGCGAGCGGTGAAATGCTGCTGAAAGGTTTGCTCACTTGTCAATTAAAATATAGCGGACCCCCGCGGGTGCGCGCCACAGGTCTTCTGCCTTACCTCCAGAATCATACGGGTAACAAAGAGCCCATAGGGGTTCCCAAAAAGAACCCCGGCGGACCACCCCAGGCTAATACTGCCGAACCCCAAGTTTTGTCGCGCAGCGCAGGAGGGAAAGTAATCGCAACCACGAGCAGGCTGGTTAGCTAACGAGGTGAAGTGACCCCTTTGTATCCATCTGGCAGCTTGATGGGTCTAATGACTCCAGCGGGGCAAGAAGGATCAGTGCTGCACGACAATGATCACACGTGTCATGATCCATGTGGCCACCTTAATGTTACCCGTCATCGCGTTGGGTTTCACTCGGCAGACACAATTGGCATTTAGGGCCAATTTGGCAATTTGGTTTTTCTCTAGGAGTCCATGCTGTCCCACACCGTCGGCTTCCTTTTCACGGGGAACGCGTGCTTCTTGTACTGGCACTAGAGGACGGGCGGTTATCGAGGTGACCTTTTGCCATCTACAAAAAATTCACGACAACGTTCAGGTAGTCCACGCTGATTGTTGTCGAGGGGTAGCTTGCTTTGCGGAGACATGTTATGTGCACGAGCTTAGTGGTCGGTCACGCTGGCGAAGCCGGAAGTGCGCATCTTGCTCAACGACGCCCCCTGGAACGTGTGTGCGTGTGTGTGTGATATAACTTCAGCTCAACATGTACATGCCGGAATGTATGAGTGTAGCTGCGGGCACGAGACGCCTTCACAGGGCGAAGCAGACTGGGTCAACTAGAATTGACTTTATTGCCCAAATATGTACTGGAGCGTGAGGCGAATGAGAGTTGCAAATATGTGCGTCGGGTTCCGCATGTTGGACGGACAAGAATGTGTGACTACCAAGGGAAGCGTCGTTACCGGCTTTTGCACGCGTCAAACCGATACAAAATGCAGGCCGAAATACACACACCATAATGATGCAGGTATCCTCAAAGGCAATTGAGAGTGACAGGACCTTATCCCCACCCTGGACCTACCTACCCTGGACCGCTTAGAAGTCCCTCTTCCTCACAGGGTAGACCAGATTTTCATTTACACTCGTTTCGCGTCTGAACTTAGAAGGTTAAAGCGAGTGTCAGGGCTTTGCCTTTTCCTAAAGGACTTCCTTCCAATCTTGTTTGTCGTGTCCCTCGCCGACGTGGTCGTAGCCGCGCGCTGGGGCTTTGCCTTCTTGCCTGCAAAGGAGCAAGTTGCTGCTTGGAGTTTTGACAGCAGTTTAACTAAGTCTCTGCCTGCGGCGAAGGCGCCGGCCTTCGTGCGGAGCCCGGAGACCATGCGGCCTTCGCCCACGCTCTTGGTGCTTGCTGCGGTGGCGGTCTTGGCGACAGCTCACGCGCAGCAAGCCAACGGTCCAACCGTGATTCCTCAGAAGAAGGCGCTGCCCCAAGGTGCGCGATATCGCCTTTGCTTCTTTAAGGTCCGGAGAGCACGCGGACATGTGATGACCTTCACTTGCTCTTTTGCTGCAGGCTTTCGCATCACTTGCTTTGATGGGTATGAATTGATCTTCACAAATGATAACTACACGAACGGCGTCTTTGTCGCAGCGGACGCGTACAAGTACCCTGTAGGACAGTGTAGGAAGTGCCCTGCAGGCACCGCAACCATGGACGGTTTCCGTTGCATTCCATGCCCTTCTGGCTACTATTCTGAAAGTGGGGCGCGCGAGTGTACGGCCTGCCCAGCTGGTACCGTCGCCAAGTCGACCGCACCTAGTGCCGGCACCACCTATTACCAGGTTCAGAAGCTGAACAGCGGCGCAAGCTCTTGCAAAAGTTGTCCTCCTGGATATTTCCAGCCAAATTTGGCCGGCACTGTTTGTATCCCCTGTCCCAGCGGTAAGCGCAGCGGACTCTTAGGACGTTGCCATGCTCTTGCCTAAAACTTTCTATTTTCCTGCAGGCTTTGTGTCCGGTGAAGGCGCAACCAGCTGCACTCCTTGCAATGAGGGCTCTTTCCATGGCGACGGGCGGCAGCTGACTCAAGCCACGGGCTACTTTAACTATGGCATGACCGCTACAGATGACACAGTCGTAGGATATGAGGCTTCAAATGCACAGATCAGTGCTGTTTCGGGCATAGCAACTTCCAGTGGTTTGCCTGATTACGTGGCCATTCCAAACACCTGCATTAAGTGCCCTAGGAATACATACCAGCCTCTGAAGGCGCAAGCCGCAACAACGACCACTGGCGACGCTGCTTTGAGCGCTTGCAGGTCAGTTTGCGGTGCGCTGTCGTAACGCTGAAATTGTTGCGGAAAGCTCTGTGATGCTAAAGGTAAAGGTAGAAATTCTTGACGGATCCTCATTACCATACAGGCGTTGTGAAGACGGTTACTTCTCGTTCCCAGGGTCGTCAGCCTGCGAGCCATGCCCTGCTGGCTCCTACCGGAACAGCTACTTTGACGGAACAAGCGCGCGCACCGACACCGGTGGTCTCCAGTTCAATGACGCTAACGACTATGCTACCGGTACTGGCAACGGCTGCTTTAACTGCCCTAAGGGTACTTTTGCGCCAAGCCCTGGCTCCAGCGTTTGCCAGCCCTGCCCTGCGGGCACCTTCGCAAATGCTACTGGATCGATTGCATGCACCCGATGCCCGGCTGGCACGAACAGCTTGTACGGCACCCGTTCGCAACAGCTTGGCTGGACCGCAACCCCAGCGGCTTCGTACAAGACGTACACGTTTACCTTCTTCGACAAAGCGGACAACACGTACAAGTTGCTGCGCACCGGTACTGATACAAACTTCTGGCTGGCTGCCAAGGGCGAAACCTGCTCGGACAACCTACCTGGTGAGTTTTTATCAGTACAGTGAAATTTGGTGATGGGTTGGTTCGTCGTAACGGTCGTGTTTGATCGGTACCGCTGTTTTACAACTGCTTGGCCGCGCAGGTTACTACACTGATGTTGATGGCCTTGGCATTCAGCTGCCATGTCGCCCGGGCACGTTCTTGGCTGCGGGCGCTTCTGACAAGACGACATGCGTGACTTGCGCTGTGGGTACTTTTAACGAGGACTTCACGCAACGTAAGATTATCCTAGAGGCATGGTTTTGTGGAGGCGAAATGTTGTGTTTTGTTTTGCTGCGAGTGTATACTTGATGTTAAGACTCGTCAAGACTCGTTGTTGTGTCTTTCGGAGCGTTGGTTGAATTATTTGTGCTGTCGTTGCCTTTCCCTCCTGGCTTTTTATTAAATACAGCTGTCTGCAAGGCTTGCTGGCCTGGATCTTTTGCCAGCCAGCGCGGCATGACATTCTGCGAGATCACGCAGCCGGGCTACTACACAAACCCCGACACACCCGCTGCCAACGCTACTGTCGACCTTACTGTTCTTACTACAACTGAGGCGTCTGGACTGGTCGTTGGTGCCGATGACCCCAGCCCCTGCGGCCTGGGCTACTACCAGCCCAACTACGAGAAGAACACGTGTCTTCCATGTGCCATCGGCACATATGCTGATGTCACCGCTTTGGCGACTTGCAAGAACTGCCAGGCCGGAAGGTACGGGAGTTTCACTCTTTTCATGGACTTCTTGTTGTGCTTTGCGGTTCGCATCGTCCATCGTTTCTGCTGTAATCGTAGTGTAAAGTTTGTCTGGTACGTTTGCATCATGTATACATTTTTTTTTATTGCCAACGGGGTTTGCACCTGTTTTGGCTGTTTTTAAGTCTTTTCTCATTTTATGTGGTATTACTATTTGGCCATCCAGGTTTCAAGACTCAATTGGCCAGGCGACTTGCAAGCAGTGCGACATTGGCTACTACTCCAATTATGGGGCCTCGAGCTGTGTCCAATGCCCAGCGGGTTCTATTACTCCGAAGCCCGGCACATCTCGCTGCACGAAGTGTGCGCCTGGGTTCTATGCCGATAAGAGCATTGCCGCCACATCATGCCGGGCCTGTCCCCGCGGTTACTTCGGCCCTTACCCTGCTGCCTATTCCAACGACGGATTCCTTCCAGAAGGCCCACGTGGCTGCTTTAAGTGCCCGTACGACACGTACGCGGATCGTCCTGGCATGACGGTCTGCACTACATGCCCAGCTCTGGATCTTGGCGGCGGCACCACTGTGCCCACCTGTACTGAGACGCCAGGCTCCCAGCGCTGCAAGCCCTGCTCACTTCTCGTTATCACCACCACAACTCGCAACACATACGTTAGCCCACCGCCGCCCACCCCCT